CTTTACCCTCCAAGAGACATAGAACAAAATGGGAAAAAGAATCACCATTACTTGTTTCTCCTGACAGGAAGGCACAGCTGCTGTCTCTCCTGCAGCCTTTGTACTTTCCTAAACGGGTGATTAATAGAGTTCTAGGCACCGTCAAGCCCATAGGACAGTAGATAAATAACAGGCAGAGTTTAAGGAGATGCATGTTCTTTGAGTTAATAATTGTAACAGCTGGAGAAATGCCGTGGTTCTCATGGTAACAGGAACCCGCAACGTGGTCTCTAATTTGAAAGCCTCAGACCAATATGTAGAGAGAGCTATCCTACAGTAACTTCTTTCTTTCTCTAACTGGAACATTTTTTAATGAAGCGACGATATGATGCAATTTGTATACACAATGCGGAAGAGACGAATTTGTTCTAAAGATGCCAGTGAAATGCACACTTGCAAACATTTTCTAAGATGATGTAGTGGGTTTATATCATTTGCTTTAGAGCTTGAGTATGAACCTGTGTCCTTTGCAAAATTTCCTAGAGATAAGTCTGCTGTTTGCTCTTCGATTCTCAGATATTTCAAGTGACCAGGATCCTGTTTTACAATAAGAATTCTAGCCAGGCACTGTGGCTCGGGCCTGTAATCCCAGCACTTTGGGAGGCCAAGGTGAGAGGATCGCTTAAGGCCAGGAGTTTGAGACCAATCTGGGACGTACAGTGAGACCCTGTCTCTACAAATTTCTTTTCTTTTTAATTAACTGAGTGTGATAGTATATGCCTACACTCCCAGCTACTTCGAAGGCTAAGGAAGAAAGATCACTTCGACCCAGGAGTTCAAGGCTAACAGTGAGCTATAATTGCACCCCAGCACTCCATCTCGGGCAACAGAGCAAGACTCAGTCTCTAAAAAGTAAAAAAATATAAAACAGAGTACAATAACAATTCAGGAAGCTTTTTTGCTGTAGTTGAGTTAAAGTTTGGGATGAGATTTGTCTTCTAACACATTTAGAGAGGAAAGAAGGACTGAAAATATCTTCCTTACTCTAGAAATAGGCATGCTGAAATATGAATGAGTCTTGCTGATTTCCTTCATGTAAACCATGCCAAATAAACAGAACCTTACAAGTTGGAAATGTACGGAGAGCCCCCCTTTGGAGACAGCCAAGTGGGCCACCCATCTCTGACTCTTGGGAGCTGCCTTCTGCTTCGTAGGCTTCCTGATGATGAGTGCACAGAGACTTTTTCCTAACTGGGCAGCCTCCTGCCTTTGCACTTCTCCGTTCCCTCCAGTCACAGTCACAGCAGGCCACCTGCTTCTCTCCCTGAAGTGATCAAACTTGTCCTTTGATCATGATGAAAACATCTTCCACTGTTCTCTCATGCATCATTCCTTTTTGTTGTTGTTGTTGAGACAAGTCTTGCCCTTTCACCTAGGCTGGAGTGCAGTGGCGCCATCTCGGCTTATGACAACCTCCGCCTTCCGGGTTCAAGCAATTCTCCAGCCTCAGCCTCCTGAGCAGCTGGGACTACAGAAGCACGCCACCACGCCAAGCTGATTTTTTATATCTTTAGTAGAGTCGGGGTTTCACCATGTTGGCCAGGCTGGTCTCAAACTCCTGACCTCTTGATCCACCCACATCAGCCTCCCAAAGTGCTGGGATTACAGGTGTGAGCCACCGCACCTGCCCACATCCTTTCTTTTCTTAGATATTCTGAGGAGTGACAGTGCCTTTGTGGAGCCTGTTACTTGGCTCACCGGTGTGAAGCTGCCTTCAATTGTGTGTACATAGACATTGCACATCCGTATTTCCTTCATTCGACCGATCGTCCTGGCGTGGTTGTGGGAGCTGCAGTGGATGGTCACAGCTAGGTTCTAGACATGAGTTCTATATGATTTAAAAAAAAAAAAAAGATTGTTAAAAAGAAAGGTTGCAAGCCAAGCCAGGGGAGCATCTTTCAGAAACAGGATCTTGCTCTCCTGCCCAGGCAAAAGAACAGTGGTGCAATCACGGCTCATTGCAGCCTCCAATTTCTGGGCTTAAGCAATCTTCTTGCCTCAGCCTTCAGAGTAGCTGGGACTACAGGTAAGTGCCAATACGCCCAGCTGATTATTTTTTTTTAATCTTTGTATAGATGGGGTCTTGCTGCATTGCCTAGGCTGGTCTCCAACTCCTGCACTCAAGCAATCCTTCCTCCTCAGTCTCTCAAAGTGCAGGGATTGCAAACATAAGCCACTGTGCCAGCCTTGGCAATTCTTCTTTATGTTGAAATTCTTGTTTTGCTTGTGAATGTCTTGAATATTACCACCGATCACACCATGCTTGGAAAATGCAGGAATGGGAGGACCTCTTTAAGTACACACACAAACACAAACTCTGTTAATAACTCATAGTGCAGCTGAACAAAACCTGAAACATCTGAACAAGGCTTTACGAAAGGCGTTAAATTGCAAGCAGGGAAGAGGCTCGGAATCACAGGAAGCTAAAAGCCTGGTTTATGATGCAATTTGTTCCCCGAGCCTCTCAGATCCTACTTCATTTTTGGAAAATCCCAGGAGAGAAGGGATAAAGCATCTTAGGCTCCAACTCACTTTCCTACCTTCTTCTTTCCTCTTTCCTTGTGCTCTCACTACCCTATTTGGAAGGGAAACCAACCATCAATCAATCATTGGGTAGAGACAAATGGAAGGGACACCAGCAGTACATCAATCAGTCAATTGGGTAGAGGCAAACATCTTCACAGTCAAAGCCAAAGTTGAGCCAGCTTAGCCGGTTGCTGTCTAGCTCAGTGTCTTTCCGAGGAGCACAAATAACTTTCAAACATAGCGATGAAAAATCATTTTTCCAAAGGTAAAAATCCAAGTTAATAGAAAAATCACAACCCATCCTAAAGCTAAATCAACGTGGTCTGATGTCTTCTGCTATGTTTTTTTACATAGGAAAGAAGAAGGTAGGAAAGTGAGTTGGAGCCTAATATGCTTTATCCCTTCTCTTCTGGGATTTTCCAAAAATGAAGTAGGATCTGAGAGGCTCGGGGAACAAATTGCATCATATGTATTGCACTTTTATATATTGCACTATATATATATATATTGCACTTTAGGTCCTGGGGTACATGTGAAGAACATGCAGGATTGTTGCATAGGTACATACATCACAATGTGGTTTGCTGCCTCCATCCCCGTCACCTATATCTGGCATTTCCCCCCATGTTATCCCTCCCCAACTTCCCGCCCCCCGCTGTTCCTCCCCTACTCCCCCCCAACAGACCCCAGTGTGTGATGCTCCCCTCCCTGTGTCCATGTGTTCTCATTGTTCAACACCTGCCTATGAGTGAGAACATGCGGTGTTTGATTTTCTGTTCTTGTGTCAGTTTGCTGAGAATGATAGTTTCCAGGTTCATCCATGTCCCTACAAAGGACACAAACTCATCATTTTTTATGGCTGCATAGTATTCCATGGTATTTATGTGCCACATTTTCCCTGTCTAGTCTATCATTGATGGGCATTTTGGTTGGCTCCAAGTCTTTGCTATTGTAAACAGTGCCACAACAAACATACATGTGGATGTGTCTTTATAATAGAATGATTTATAATCCTTTGGACAGACCCAGTAATAGGATTGCTGGGTCAAGTGGAATTTCTATTTCTAGGTCCTTGAGGAGTCACCACACTGTCTTCCACAATGGTTGAACTAATATACACTCCCACAAATAATGTAAAAGTGTTCCTATTTCTCCACATCCTCTCCAGCATCTGTTGTCTCCAGATTTTTTAATGATCGCCATTCTAACTGGCGTGAGATGGTATCTCAATGTGGTTTTGATTTGCATTTCTCTAATGACCAGTGATGAGCATTTTTTCCTATGTTTGTTGGCCTCATATATGTCTTCTTTTGAAAAGTGTCTGTTCATATCCTTTGCCCACTTTTGAATGGGTTTGTTTGTTTTTTTCTTGTAAATCTGTTTTAGTTCTTTGTAGATTCTGGATATTAACCCTTTGTCAGAAGGGTAGATTGCAAAAATTTTTTCCCATTCTGTTGGTTGCCAGTTCACTCTAATGATTGTTTTCTTTGCTGTGCAGAAGCTCTGGAGTTTAATTAGATCCCATTTGTCTACTTTGGCTTTTGTTGCCAATGCTTTTGGTGTTTTAGTCATGAAGTCCTTGCCTTTGCCTATATCCTGAATGGTTTTGCCTAGGTTTTCTTCTAGGGATTTTATGGTGTTAGATCTTATGTTTAAGTCTTTAATCCATCTGGAGATAATTTTAGTGTAAGGTGTCAGGAAGGGGGTTAATTTCTGCCTTCTGTGCATGGCTAGCCAGTTTTCCCAACACCATTCATCAAACAGGGAATCCTTTCCCCATTGTTTGTTTTTGTCAGGCTTGTCAAAGATCAGATTGTTGTAGATGTATGGCATTGCCTCTGATTCCTCTGTTCTGTTCCATTGGTCTATACCTCTGTTTTGGTACCAGTACCATGCTGTTTTGATTACTGTAGTCTTGTAGTATAATTTGAAGTTCAGTAGCGTGATGCCTCCAGCTTTGTTCTTTTTGCTTAGAATTGACTTGGCTATGTGGGCTCTCTTTTGGTTCCATATGAAGTTTAAGGTGGTTTTTTTCCAGTTCTGTGAAAATGGTCATAGGTAGCTTGAAGGGTATAGCATTGAATCTATAAATTACCTTGGGCAGTATGGCCATTTTCACAATATTGATTCTTCCTAACCATGAGCATGGAATGTTTCTTCATCTGTTTGTGTCCTCTCTTATTTCGTTGAGCAGTGGTTTGTAGTTCTCTTTGAAGAGGTCCTTTACATCCTTCGTTAGTTGTATTCCTAGGTATTTTATTCTCTTTGTAGCAATTGTGAATGGCAGTTGGTTCTTGATTTGGTTCTCTTTAAGTCTGTTATTGGTGTATAGAAATGCTTGTGATTTCTGCACATTGATTTTGTATCCTGAGATTTTGCTGAAGTTGCTTACCAGTTTCAGGAGATTTTGGGCTGAGACGATTGGGTCTTCTAAATATACAATCATGTTGTCTTCAAATAGAGACAATTTGACTTCCTCCTTTCTTAATTGAATGCCCTTCATTTCTTTTTCTTGTCTGATTGCTCTGGCTAGAACTTCCAATACTATATTGAATAGGAGTGGTGAGAGAGGGCATCCTTGTCTAGTGCCAGATTTCAAAGGAAATTCTTCCAGTTTTTGCCCATTCAATATGTTATTGGCTGTGGGTTTGTCGTAAATAGCTTTTTAATTTTGAGATACGTTCCATTGATACCTAGTTTATTGAGACTTTTTAGCATAAAGTGCTGTTGAATTTTGTCAAAGCCCTTCTCTGCATCTCTTGAGATAATCATGTGGTTTTTGTCTTTGGTTCTGTTTATGCAGTGAATTACGCTTATAGACTTGCATATGTTAAACCAGCCTTGCATCCCTGGGATGAAGCCTACTTGATTGTGATGGATAAGCTTTTTGATGTGCTGTTGCAGTCGGTTTGCCAGAATTTTGTTGATGGTTTTGGCATCTGTGTTCATCATGGATATTGGCCTGAAGTTTTCTTTTTTTGTTGAGTCTCTGCCGGGTTTTGGTATAAGGATGATGTTGGTCTTATAAAATGATTTGGGAAGGATTTCCTCCTTTTGGATTGTTTGGAATAGTTTCAGAAGGAATGGTACCAGCTCCTCTTTGTATGTCTGGCAGAATTGGGCTGTGAACCCATCTGGACCTGGGCTTTTTTTGGTTGGTAGGCTATTAATTGCTGCGTCAACTTCAGCCCTTGTTATTGGTCTATTCAGGGTTTCAACTTCTTCCTGGTTTAGGCTTGGGAGGATGCAGGTGTCCAGGAATTTATCCATTTCTTCCAGGTTTACTGGTTTATGTGCATAGAGTTGTTTGTAGTAATCTCTGATGGTAGTTTGTATTTCTGTGGAGTCAGTGGTGCTATCCCCTTTATTGTTTTTTATTGCATCTATTTGCTTCTTCTCTCTTTTCTTTTTTATTAATCTGGCTAGTGGTCTATTTTATTGATCTTTTCAAAAAACTCACTCCTGGATTTATTAATTTTTTGAAGGGTTTTCTGTCTCTCTCTCCTTCAGTTCTGCTCTGATCTTAGTTATTTCTTGTCTTCTGCTAGCTTTTGAGGTTTTTTGATCTTGCTCCTCTAGCATTTTCAATTTTGATGATAGGGTGTTAATTTTAGGTCTTTCCTTGATTCTCATGTGGGCATTTTTTGCTATAAATTTTCCTCTAGAGACTGCTTTGAATGTGTCCCAGAGATTCTGGTACATTGTGTTTTTATTCTTATTGGTTTCGAAGAATATCTTTATTTCTGCCTTCATTTCATTGTTTATCCAGTCAACATTCAAGAGCCAGCTGTTCAGTTTCCATGAAGTTGTGCGGTTCACTAACTAACTGACTGAATGAGTTTCTGAATTCTGAGTTCTAACTTGATTGTACTGCGGTCTGAGAGACTGTTTGTTACGATTTTCGTAATTTTGCATTTGCTGAGGAGTGATTTACTTCCAATTATGTGGTCAATTTTAGAGCAGGTGTGATGTGGTGCTGAGAAGAATGTATATTCTGTGGATTTGGGGTGGAGAGTTCTGTAAATGTCTATTAGGTTTGCTTGGTCCAGATCTGCGTTCAAGTCCTGGATATCCTTGTTAATTTTCTGTCTTGTTGATCTGTCTAATATTGACAGTGGAGTGTTAAAGTCTCCCACTATTTTTATGTGGGAGTCTAAGTCTCTTTGTAGGTCCTTAAGAACTTGCTTTATGTATCTGGGTGCTCCTGTATTGGGTGCATATATATTTAGGATCGTTAGTTCTTCTTGTTACATTGATCCTTTTACCATTATGTAATGCCCTTCATTGTCTCTTTTGATCTTTGTTGGTGTTCTTTTTTTTTTGAAATGGAGTTGGAGTCTCACTCTGTCACCAGGCTGGAGTGCAGATCTCGGCTCACTGCAACCTCCACCTCCCTGGTTCAAGTGATTCTCCTGCCTCAGCTTCCCAAGTAGCTGAGACTACAGGCACGTGCCACCATACCCAGCTAATTTTTGTATTTTTAGAAGAGATGTGGTTTCACCATGTTGGCCAGGATGATCTCAATCTCTTGGCCTCGTGATCTGCCAGCCTCGGCCTCCCAAAGTGCTGGGATTATAGGCGTGAGCCGCTGCACCCCGCCACAAGAGTTTATTCTTCTTTAGACAACACTGTGGAATGAATATCCAAGAGTTAACTGGGCTTAGATAGCTAGATGAGAAATGGATTTCTTCCTGGAATAGACATATATACTTATGTCAGGCTACCATTTATATTTTTTGGACTGACAAAGCAATAATCTCAGATATGACCATTGGGAGTGCTAATATGCAAATTTCTAGCTCTAGTTATCTTTTAAAATTAACACTATGGTTAATTGTCACAGACTCTACAAGCACCCTACAACCAGGGATAAAGACCTGAAGCTCCAGTTGGGTTCAATGTTTCATGCCTGTAATCCCAGCCCTTTGGGAGGCTGAGGCAGGTGGATCATATGAGGCCAGGAGTTCAAGACCAGCCTGGGCAGCATACGAGACCCTGTATCTATGAAAAAAAAATCTGTTGATTAGCTGGGCATGGCAGTGTAGTCCCAGTTACTCAGGAGGCTGAGTCAGGAGGATCACTTGAGCCCCGGCGTTTGAGGCTGCAGTGAGCAATAGTTGTACGACGGCACTTCAGCCTGAGTGACAGAGCAAGGCCCTGTCTGTAAAAAAAATTTTTTTAGTTAAAGAAGACCAGAAGCTGTGCTCCATGCAGAGGTTTTTTTGTTTTTGTTTTTTCCTCTCCAGATTTTGTTCTTTATTTTCTGAGCTAAAACAACTGGCTCCGTGAGATTCTCCAGAATATTTGGCCCATCTGGCTGTTGGCCCATGTCAGGCTCTTTGATGGTTCTGTCTAATCTTTTTGTAGATGTAATTGGTTATAGTTTCCATGTCTTTAGAGCTGCTAAGCTAGCAGTTTAATTTGTCCTAATTCAGAACCTAATTGTCTTGCACTGCTGGCTAATTAAATGTTCAAAGAAGTGATAAATTAGGCAGGTTGATCATTACAGCACAAGTAATTAGCCAGTTGATCTGAAGCCAGCCAAGTTTCTAGGACAGGGCTTGGAAGGGGGGACATCCACTGTGATAAGACCCTCGTATCACATTGATTTGAGATAAAGAAGATCAACTGTAGAGTCAGGGGCCTGCCACCTCATGCACATGTAGGAGTCTTTTCTTTCAAGGCTACGAATTTGCTCAGGTCTTGGATAGGTCTGGGTTCACATTAAGGTACATTAGCAGGCTGCGTGCGGTGGCTTACGCCTGTAACCTCAGCACTTTGGGTGGCTGAGGCGGGTGGGTCACTTGAGGTCAGTAGTTCGAGACCAGCCTGACCATGGTGAAACCCTGTCTCTACTAAAAATACAGAATTAGCCAGGCATGCTGGTGGGCACCTTTAATCCCAGCTACTTGGGAGGCTGAGGCAGGAGAAATCACTTGGATCCAGGAGGCAGAGGTTGCCGTGAGCTGAGATCGTGCCACTGCACTCCAGCCTGGGAAACAAGAGTGAAACTCTGTCTCAAAAAAATAATATAAAATAAAATAAAGTACATTAGCTGCCCAGGTCCCCTCTGAACATGTCAGCATCCATTGAGGTGTGGTTAACAGGCCAGGAACCCCTCCACTGGCAGAGGTAGGGGTTGGTACAGCTGGGAAGGTGGAAATGAGTCTGAAAATTAGAAGCAGATTCCTGGACAAGGACTGAGTCTTAACGCTTGAAGGAAAACCTGACAGGTCCAGCTCAGGGGCTTCAGGATCTCAGTAAGTGTAAAAATATGAAAAGTAGCATGACTTAGGTTGAAACAAAGTGAACAGCAGTATGGAACAGGCTGACCTATCCCAGGATGGGCTGAGTTGAGGCCAGGTGAGACCGATTGTAAGTGGCAGAGATGACCACTTCAAATCCCACCCAATGCGATAATCCCACTGGGACACATTATGACAAAGTATTTGTTGCCAGGGACCACTTGTTAAAGGGGTGACCTGATGCTCTCTGTAGTGGATGATTTGCAGGGTGGGCTATCTTGGTATTAAAGGAGAGCTTTCGTAGAGGTCTGATGAACAAGCAGGGAATGTTCTTGTTTCCCTAAAATCAGCCTGGGAGTTTTCTACAAGACTAGAGCAAAAATGAAAAAAGTTCTATCACACA